CCCTCATATCTCCAATACCGGCAGGTGCCGTGGAAGGATTTATTTATATATATATATATACATATATATAGAGAGAGAGAGAGAGAGAAAGGAATATATATATAGAAAAGAATATATATATATATTATATAGACCAGATATAAAGGGTGAGGCAAAATGAAAACGCACTGCTCATTGAAAATTGCCAGAGCCTCTGAAATAGCAACTAAAATAACGAAGTTTCTTTCGTATACACACCGCTATGCATCCTTCGAGCAAAGGAACATTTTTGGCCGTTTACCTCCAGCCAATTCAGCACACGAATGATTTTGCAAAAGCAACTGGAATTTTATTTTTGCACTTGCCCCTGGACGCTGACGGGAGAATTTTCCTAACTTACTCGCGGAGACAACTCTTTTCAACGGTTTTTCCTCTTGTTCTTGCGTTTGGCAATCTGCAGATAGGAATTTTTCATCCTAGGATTCATCTAGAAGAAAAGTTACTTCTTCCTCATGAAGGTAATTTCCTTAAGTTCCGATGAGTTTTAGTCTTCCGTTCCTCCGCCTCCCCTCAAATGAACCGGTTTCTTGTAGCTTGTGAATCAATATCTTCACGGCCTATAGTTCTTTGACACTTTACTGGAAAATTCTTGCAAAATTCGGCCCTACCCCATCCTTTCGCAAATAACATTTTTATCGACATGCGGAGGAGATCTGGGCCAATGTTAATGAGCTCCACATGTACCAACTACTTTTTCGCTATACCTTTCCTCGCTCAAAAATAAATTGCGATAGGTCTTTGCGTTTTCGCTCCAGTGCTAAAACGGTTGGAGAAACACGGGCAAGAAGCTTAGGAAGTTTAAATGATACGTAGAAGTCGTTGAAAATAAGTTTTTGCAGTGTTTTTCTGCTATCTCATGAACTCCAAAGAATCTTAAAGAGCGGCGCATTTTCTTTGCTTCACTCGGTATTTCCCTCACTGGTCCGTGCTCTTGTCCTCTGCGTTTCTCGGCTTAGTACCCACTCCCGCCTCACCATCCGCCCCCTCCTTCTACCTACGCGCACCCTCTCCTTCCCCTCCGCCTGTTGATCTGACATAAGATAATGCTTCAGGCTCTTCCTTATTGCAAAGAGGTACATAGGAAGAAAATGCCTGTGTAAAGTGACACTAAAGCGTGTCCTGGATCTCCTAGGCGACACGGAATGATGCCAGTATTAATGCACTTAGTGTTATTTGCCACATCTTACTCCGTCATTATACACATTGAAATGTGTCCTGCCTCACTACACATTTTTTTGCCAGTCCATTATTCAGACTTGTCATGGGACACATCTTACTGCATCTGTGGACATGTTGAAATGTGACCACTCTTGTGCCACGTTTTAGTAGGACCAACATGAATAAATTCTCCTATGACACAAATACGTACGTGTGTCATTTGCACACTATATCCTGTAATTTCTCTTGGGGTTGTTAGAGTCTAATCGATGAAATGAAAAGTACAGGTCGTCCGGAATTATCTTAAGCTCTTAGAAAGGCCGAGAGCATAATAAGCATCGGTGAATTGAAAAATAAACTGCATTCGAAAGCCATGATCGACATAAATCGGAATTGCCTTTTCTTTAAAAATCAGAATCGCCTTCACCTCTTTGAAAGTTTTTTAAAGGAAATAGTCATTGCTTAATCAAAATGGAAGCGATGGCGACACGTCTTTCCAAAAAAGAATTATGAAAATAGGGCGCATTTGCACGGTCCAATCAGAGAGCAAGAGAGGAGGAGCTTCAGCTTTTCCTCTCAAGGGTCGGTCAATCTCTCACGAGCTTGGTGTATATGGTGCCCTTGGATAGTCTTCACTCATTCAGTAGCTAACACAAGGTGTTCATCCCGAGAAGTGAGTTCCGTCTTCATATTTATGCTTAGTTTGACATTCCAGCATGCCACTTTTCTTTCTTTCTATGCCCTTCCTAAATTGTGGGCCCCTAGAAAAGGTGAGCATTTAGTTAATCAAAAGGTACTATTGACCGAGTCATGAATATGTAATGATTTATCATCAGAATTGTTCCTACGTTCATGTAGGCCTGGTAAATATTCGTACGTACCAAATCTCTGTACTCCGAGCCGCTTGTAGCCAGACTCCGTGTGCATGCTAATATGTTATGCACAGCATAACATAAACTTGATTAGAGTAAAACACTGAAATATTTTGCATGCGAAAATAAAAATTTGATCGCTAGCTCCAATTTAGTGAATGCTCATTGTTAATTTGATGACGGAGTCAACATTTATGAGGAGTTGGTGACGAGTTCATCATAGGCGTAAAGCCAAATATATACATATAATATATTTTCTATTTTTAGATTGGTGATCATACGTCGGAGTAGTGTCTCTCCTTGAATCCAGCAGCTCTGAGATGAAGAAAAACAACTTACCCTCTACCTCTGCCAGTGAAAATCGATCTCCTGGACATCCTGTCTCCAATCCAAGTTAGTTTTAGGCATACTGACTTGATATTATTTTGAACTCAGATTTATTTTATATTTATGAATGATTATCCTCAGTCTGGGAGTGATTTTTTTTTCGAAAGTAAAGGGATTTCATAAATGGCGCGGAAAAGCCAGAAACATATGTGCCTTTCAAGCCATTTATTTATACCCGAGACAACCAGTTATTTTCTTTTCGGGTAATTATCATCATGAAAGATGGAATTATTCATTTTAATTTGAATGTCAACGGGTGGTCTAAGAGATTGAAAACATATCCAAGCCGCCCTACTGCTTTCCTGCAACACTCACGATTATTTTTCTCTGCAGGTTGTGACCAGTTCGGTTACCGAGACAAGTTTTTGTTCTTCTCAGCGAAAGACGGGAGGATCTTTCTCATGGTTAGCGACAGCATTGGAGATAAGACTGGAAACCGCCTTAGGATGAAAAGAGGAGATCATAATGAGTACCCGGCCATTAAGACAGCAAAACTACACTATGAACCAAGGAATATCGAGGTCAGGTTTGCGATTCGAAATTCAGTGTCACTTGTCTTTCTCTCATTTTTTCATTTCCTGCTATAGCGGATCTTAGGGTTGCGGTCTTTGGCCACAATCATCTTCTAATTCAACTGCTCCATCATTCCCCAATTTTAGCTGACTTTCTTGCTCGATCAACGTGACTACATATTAAAATTACTACATTTTTCTCGTATTTCGCAGCTAAAATATCCACCATCGCAATCCACTCAAGAGCTTGCGATTGATATGTCACGTGCACCATTCGACGGGTCGGAAGTCTTTCCCTCATGGGTAATTGTTAATTAGCAGTGGGAAAAGTGCAACTAGCAATCGGAAGTAAAGGGCATCGTTGATATCGAAGAGACTGCCTAGTCCGATCCAAGAAAGAGCATTAAAAGGACAGCATCATAGAAACGAAGTAATTAACTTTTAAACTTATTAATCAATTAAAACATTTTTGTGCAAGGTTTTTTATCATGACAATCAATATGAGACCACTCACACCTTCACACGATTTCTTCTTGATGGTTAAGTGATTCGGTAAACTGGGATATATGTGGATTTGAAAATTCTTTGCCAACGGAAAAAAATTGTTCCCCCTGTATCCGTCACTGTTTACTGGCTAACAGATGTATATTTCATGTCTTCTTAGTTGGAGTTTGAAGACTTCGAGCATTCTGCTGCAATCCCGGTGAAACGTATCTACGGAAAAAACAAGATGACGGCATCTATAATAAAGGATCACATGAAGACTAGAAGACTCCAGGAGTTCGTGCGGAGTCTCAACGAAAGAATTATGCAGATCCGTCATGAGCAAGATGCGACATCAGTCACCAGTCCAAAGGAACATAGAAACCAGTTCGTAGTTATCATTCACTAAAAATCATCAACATTGAATCTCAATACTTACAAAAGAAATGCTTTACACTGCCACATTTCTGCACTGTCTTGACAGAGTTCATGGATGCCTTGCAGAGTCCCCAGGGTCGCAAACTTCAATCCCTCCAGCCACCTCCTGCGCCCAAGAACTGCTAAGTAGGACAGCCGACACTGGAAAGAGGAGTATTAGCTCCGAACGGAAGAGGACACACAGACAAGCTATGCCTGCAGAACGACATGAAGCCTGCTTTTTATGGTACTTTGGGAGAGCATTGTCCTCTTTAATCTGGAGCTTCATTGGAAGCGATATCGCAATGCACTCAAATATTAATAATTTGAGCAGTCTATGTAGGGGTCAGAAAAACAACGAAATGTTCAAGGAAAATATTGTATGGGGTAGGGAATACCAATAAATAATATGCATGTAGTTTGAATAATAGTTTCCATTTGAATTCAATCGTAGATAGCTTCCTGATGCGAAAGAACCATATCTGAAAAGTTGAAACGCTTGCTATGTTGCTAGTCTAAGAAGAGAAACCTTCTGTCTAGGACTGTACCGATGGTCACATTTGGATAACTATTGTCTCATACCTATTGGCTGGCGCCGGAGCCGATGTTAATCGTGAAGTAGAGAGAAACAGGTAAAGGATTAAATATTTATTGAAATTGACCTATTCATGCCGTTCTTCATGCCATTCATAGCCATGTTCTATTTTTTTTCTGTCGCGTTAGGTGTTTAAAAAATATGGAAGTATCGAAATGAGGCATAATGCATCGATGCAACCAGGGAGGGGGGATCGGCGGATTCAGTCTTTTCTCACTGTGATGGGACGGAGGCGACCATCTCAATCCGTACTCCGAAATCTGTCGCCTGTGATCGGAGAGAGAGAGAGCGGGAGAGAGGGGAGGGGGAGGGGGAAGTGCGACCTTCTCTACGGGTAATAAAAGCCTACCATTCCTCCAACTATCGAATATGACATTCATTCATCGATGGATGCAACGAGTAGGACCGAGTTTTTCCTATTGCTGTTGATAATCAATTGCCCATCCCCGTATCCCCGGTCATATATTTTTCTTTTCCTTTGATACATTGCGCATGTTCTTCTTAGGACATCGGCACTTGGAGCTTGTAAACCGCCCGATGGCGCATATTGGACCATACAGGCGGCCGATAACAGAAGTTGCCGATATATTGGTACAGCCCTAGTTTTGACATGCTTTACTTACAACGAATATGGCCAGAATATGAAGTTCACACCAAGATTTCCCATTTTCATCAAGGCACACTTGATGAAATGAGATTGTTCCATTCTCACTACAGGGACTCATCAGATACCCATAAGGATGATACGGCAAATCTGTGCAGCTACGAGGTCTTTTTCGACAGAGGCAAAAGATGTCCTGAAAAAGCATATCCTACTGGAAGGAGAAGACATGGGTTGCCAACTTCCGATTCTTGTCGCATCTATGACCGGGACCATGAGATTCGATGCAAATTGCGTGATCTATTTGAATCAATAATTAAATAGCTCATGCCCACTTTTCAACAAGCAAAAGTTATTGATGATCATTTGAATGCATAGTTGAAACAGCTTATCATATAGTCCAGGCTAGAAAAGAACTGTTGGAGGAGACACCAACTAGGAAAGATACTTGCACCTGTGCCATCTATGTGGGGGTCACGGAAGCAGAGAAGCGGATGCTGCCTCTATGTAATGCCGAACTTCAAGCAGTTCCTTATAATGTGCTTGATGTTGTGTGTTTGCTGTCGCACTTTCCCTCTTGATAACGTGTATACGATTTGGTTGTTAGGGTATTCGGTGACATCAAGTAGTGAAATGACTTGGATCTTTGAAGCATTCAACGATGGCGTGTAACAGTCCTTGTTCAGTACTGATAACACTCTCATCCATGCTTCCAGCTGGAAATATACCATGAGATGCATGAAGGTGCATCTGATGGGGAAATTCCAAAGGAATTCACCGACGCTCTGAAGGTAAGGTTGACCCAGTGTTCCCTGCTTCCATGCCTTTTTAAAAATATACGTTAAGAACGACATTAGAAGCAGAAAAAAGCACGGGCATATATTGAAGGGTGCAGAGCCCCCACATTAATGTAATACTCTGTATAATCATGTAATACTCTTTCTTACCCGTGCACGCATCATTTTTATTTTATTTTTTTTTACGAATTGCTGCTATTGTAATTGCTAAGTGATGACATGAGTTACATGATTTATCAGGACAGAAAAAAGAGACAAGTAATCAACAACTTGCTCCACATGGGACCTCCAGTGGTGAAGGAATTCCTCATGATGGGTAAACGACTTGAAGATGCCGACCCAGGCTGCGTATCTAAAAAACTGTACCACCTGAGACATTTGGGCAACCCAAGCATTTCCTCAAATGATTTCCTGGAAAGCCGAATGCCTAGAAATATTCTACGTTTACAGTAAACAAATTTCGCATTTACTTTTCGCGTGTGAATTCATCATAATGCATAAATTCAATATATTGATAGTAAAGCCTGAAGGTGATATGATGATAGTAAAGCCTGAACTGTGGTGGTGACATGAAGAAGCTTGGGACTAACCTTTAAGTTGTTATCCGAAAGAATACCTTAAGGAATTCATTTTCCGAGTATAATTTCTTCATTTGACCCTCATTCGTATTTGTTATCTGAAGTATCGACATCAACGATGGAAAAGTTTATTTATTATTGTTTTTACGATTCCAGCCCTAAGCATCGCAGCATAGAAAAAAAGCACTTCAAATATCGAAATTTGACAGGCTTGCTGGAATAAGGGAATGAGATGGACCACAGGTATTCACAGCATGTGACAGAAGAGGCGCTCAAACCTTTCATGAGATTGAAAAACCCAGAGGAGTAAGAATGGAAGGGCTATGTGGAACTATGTATAGGCGGACAAGTAACACGTAATACTGAAGAACTGGGAGCTGACTCTGAGATTATCACTGTTCTTGGAAGTCACCTTGAGGTGCCTGAGGGTTGTTTTGATCAACCATTTCGTAGCGCCGTATTCGCAGTTGAGGTGAGCCTGCAATAATATATATGCCTTCCCATCCTTCTCTCAATGTTAAAAAAGGCATTTTCATTGCTCTTATTCCTTCTCACAGAGCTTAGGAGAAGCCGAACAATGCCTATTAGGCCTTAATGACCATCAGTGTCGCTTCCATGGTGACGAAAATATCCCCACAGCCTTCATGGTGGATGACATTAAGCAGGCTGCAGCCATCCAGGAATCCCTTAGAAGTCACTGCCTTAAAACTGGTATTGCCATCATCAACAATTCTGAAAGTGAAGGTGGGTTCCTGAATTTTCTGATATTTCGTCGTTTTGATCGCATTCTAGGGAAGGTTTCTTCATCTGATCATAGGGGAACTTTTCGCGCAACACCACGCATATGCTGTCGTTGCTAGCACGCTCAAGATTCCTCTAGCAACATCTGTCCTAAGCAGGAAGGAGTTCCTCACCTCTATTGGCGAATTAAATGGTTGGCTTCTTTTCAACATTAGGGGATTGAGTGAGTCATTTATAGTTAATGAAGGATGTATATACTGTATGTCTCATGATCGCAGCGTTTCTCCGTGTTTATGGCAGCACAGGGGCCTGACAGAATATGGATTTTTCTCATATTCCAGAGAAACGGGAGCTGCCATCCCCATTGAAATTATTATCCCTCGTACCTATGGAGTTGGGAGGCCCCCATGGAAGGGATATCTTCAGAGAGGATGGATGAGGCAGATTTGAGATCAGATAATGACATAACTCAGTATGAGCTACAAAAGTTATTTTCTATCATCATGCATTTCATACCTTTCTTGATGGACCCTTTCCTGATTTTAGTATATTATGGAGATTCTATGTCTCTGACTTGCTCCAAATAATCTATGATACCTGTCTCGCAAAAATAGATCTCATTCTTAAAATGTAAATATTCCTTATCTTAAAAAATTTCTGATCCATAACTAATGCCGTCTTTGTTCCCAGGCAGCAACTCTCTGAGAGCATTGTCGGGGGTTCTGTGATGACATTGAATTGGATCTTCAAGAGTGATTCATCATTGGAGCAGAAGAAGGTACAAGGTATGCACTCACAAGTTATATGGAAGGTCTTCTTCACTTCATTTATGTCTTGCTCATTTATAGTCGTTTCTATCGAACTTGAAGCACATCACTGAAAATTGCAATTATTGGACTCCGTGCAACTTATTTTTAAGTATTCAGAGGTTTTGAAGAACATGCTCATGCATTAATTTATTCGAGTTGGTTCTAAAAACGAAACTCTTAATTTTCCTTTCAATATTATTTTGCAGAATCCCAAGAGTTCAATGCCTGTCAGTATCACTGGAATATTAAGTTGAACATGACGTCGTGGCAAAGGTTATGACTCAATGAGATATTGAGTCAGAAGTACACCTACTCGAGTCCCATATGTCAAATTAAATGTGATACATTTTCTTAACACATCAGAAAAAGGTAATGTTTCTTATGAGCAGGTTTTTTCATTGGAGGGCAAATAAGGGTATAGAAGGGAGGTATAAAATCTAAAGTGCCGTTTCAATGTATGATGATCTAAATGCCTCAATCTGATCTCTTTTATGCTTTTTCCAAGCTGGATGGTGGTACCCGAAGAAAGAAGACATCGCAGAAAGAGCGGATTCCCCATGGACGCCCTTCTCGTCATCATTTTTATTATTCTTGTGTTTCCAATTGTTCTTGGCTTGTTATAACTTGCATATTCTTTGCTGATAAATTCATCACAAACTCATGTGATCTGAATGTTTGTATTTGTGTCAGAAAAACGACTGATAAATAGAATTTATTCACCAAAAATTATTTTCTTTCCAGCTCGTAAATTTCACACTGAAGCTTTATACGACAAATAAGATGTACGTGTATTTTTTTCCTCTCGCAAAGTTTTCAGTAATAGTTGGGAGTTTGAAAATTTATTATGGGAGTTTCTTTAGGACTGGAGTTACTGTCCTTATTTCATATTCATCAAAGGTTGAAATCTGTCACAGTCTCAAGTAACAGATTACTTATCCTTGCACTTAGTGGAGTAAATTGACAGGTACCTCAGAATCCCACACTGGGTCCATGGCCAATTGGCCATTGAGACATCCTGAGGTTGTGGACGAAGTTGATTACCTCCCAGCCGAATGCGCAGCCAATTGGCCAAGGACATATTCGGAAGCCATGAAGTTCATCGTTCTACCTGGGTTTGTGGCCAATTGGCCATTGCCCCATCCTGGGGGAAAAAAACAGCTTCCCTTTCTGGAAGGATCCAGATCTGACCAGCCTGGTGGTCCACCTGACGTGACTCAAATTTGCGCTCTGATGAGGCCGAGATTAAGTGTGAATATATAGGGGACTTGAACTCAATGATACATGCTGACATTACTGAGTGCGGAATCAAATGCAAAGAGGTCTTCAAGGCAAATATTCATTCAAAGTCAGCCAATTAATCTCGTTATGTAAATATGTCTGGTTATTCAGAATGGCCTTCAATTGTCCGTTTTGAAGGAAATAGTTTGTCTTTCTGCCAAATGAGGTCTGNAATGAGGTCTGAGGAAAAATGATACTCCCTTCTACCCGATTTGTCCTCTCTGGCATTGATGAGAGGAAAAAAGTCATATCGAGGACGAAATTAATGCATCACAGTCCATATCTCAGGTAATTTTTGCTCATTTATCTCGGAAACATCACAATCGCATACACTTAGCTGATTGAAATGAAGAATCTTTAATTGAAACATGTTTACTTGAATAAATGTCTATAAACGTTCAGATTGACCCGCACATTAAATGAAACAATTCACTCAGATATTACCATCAAACATGAGGTGAACTATTTTGGTACATGTAGTAAGTAACGTACTGATAGTGCTATATTTACATATGAAATGCTGACGAAAACCTTACACGATGAAACTCAGACGCACTGACCCCAATGCCATAAAAAACTTTGATCTCTTAATTATCATTAAAGAGGAAAATGCAGAGCTTCATGATGGCCCAATGTGTGGAAGTGAGTAACTGCATTCTCAGCGTATCCAGAATGCCGGAAGACTGCGAAGGGAAAGGAATACATTGGAAAAATGAAGAGGACGGAGAATGGAAACGACTGTCTCCGATGGGATTCCAGGCCATATCCAACACCAAAAGATTTCCAGCCAGTATTGTCTTATGAAGAACATTTCCTCAATGAGGATCCGGGATCTCACGAAAACTACTGCAGGAATCCGGCTTTGAGAGAGAGGCCGTGGTGTTTCATCTCGAACCCGGATATAGTATGGGAATTCTGCGACATCCCCTTATGCGAGGACCCAGGTGAGTTTAGTTTTGATCCTGTTAATTCACCTCATCGAATTCATTTTCCGATACTGTGGGAATCACCAGGGTACCCTAAAATCACAGGTGAGAATGCTCATGCCATGGAATAAGAGCGATTGAGTCATTCCATGGCATGCCAACACACGGCAAATAATTTAATGTCTCTTGTTTTTAGTAAATTCGGGGTGTGGTATGTACGATTGAGAAACTACAACTCCTTACATATTTTCAGGATTAATTATTCAATCCAGGAAATGTTGATGAAAATGCAGCAAATTTCCGACTTCACATCTTTCGACTTTACATCCCCTCATGAGATATCTTCAAAATTGTGAGGCATTTGTGAAATAAATTTTTTAAAGCATTTTTATAGGAATCATGTTTCTTGCTCCGATACGAAATTATGATATCAATTGGGTTTTTTCGTTAGTCTTGCATTTCCAGGAAATATTTCAATGCAATGAATACGATTTGGCAAGAGTAAGTTCCCGATCTTCCTAGGACTCCAATAACTTTAAAAAAATTCTCTATTCCACAGCCAACTGAGAACTTGATATTACATATTTGATGGCGAAATTGCATTTCTGGACGAGAAATGCTTCCACGGCAACATGGTGCCTTACGTAAATAAGGAACCCTAGGGACATAAAGAAACGCTCGTTTAGTAATGTGCTAATCATAATGTTCATAAGTAATGCAGGGCCTGCAACATTATTGTTGTAGGCACTGCCTACAACAATCATGAAATTGTCATGCAGCCTGCGTCGTCAGGGGGTTGAGGCTGCAAGCCTAGCACGACACCCTATCAAGACCGTTTCTGCCGTTAGGCGCTAAAGCTATGACATGAAATGAGTGGAAGGTAGTTCCCAGATCATCAGAGGCACACCCGGCTTAAGTCCGTCTGCCAGCACCACTGTCAGCTATCAATTGGCTCGACCAGCCTTGCGACCGAAATTCATGACGAGAAAGGTCCCTAAGGGAAGCAACCCAGCATAGCTTGGAATGACTCAGGCCTATGCCATAAAAAAGTAAAAGGGGATGTTGGTCTGGGAAACGCAGGCCTAAAAAGAAAGAAGAGGGGGACTACCATGAATTCAGCCGACAGTGTTCTGTGCTGACAGAATGGAGCGATGCCCAGATTGCTTCTGCCAAACTGGGTCTTTGCCTCGAGGCACATTAAGCTAAAGCCACCTAACCCAACCCCGACAACCTGGATGAGTTAATTCTTCGGAAAGAATCAAAAGCTATGGGAAAAAGCCCAATCACTGGTATAGTATTCCTGCACCGGTTCTGTGTTGCAATCACTTCTGTGCTGCAAGGGTCGTACATCCGAGCTGTTTACAGGTCTAGCTACGGGAATATCCATGAATCTTTTCCAAAAGGATGCAAGACCATTTCCTTCAGGAGCGAATTCAATGAGATCGTACTTGGAATTTTGCGAGAAAAGTTTAAATAGTATTTTAAGGACTTTTCTTCATAGCCGTTATCCAGGAGCCTCTGGTGTAAGAGCCAAACTGTTGAAGAGGAAACCGTCCGCCTCGGAGGAAATATCTGAGTATCTTTTTATCTGAGAAGCGACGACGTTTTTAATAATATGCCTAGGGAAGTTACTACTTGCATTCGGCAGACTCAGGAATTCGAATTCGAAATCTCTTCTTTTGTCGTAGATGCTGGTAATGAAGCGTCTTTCTGAATCATCAACTGCGATATTTAGGTCTAAATAATGGGTGGATTTGAACGGGGACGATACCGTTTCCTCCAATTCCAAGCAATCTGGGTAAATGCACTCGATTTCGGTCTGAATTCTGGAATTGTTGATCGCTACGAGTTCATCAATGTACCTGTAGGTGAATCGGTAATCACCAGGAAAGGACGTCTTGTTCATGTGCCTAGCTTCATAATAAAATAGGAAGAGATTCGCCATTCGCCAGATTCTAAGCTCTCTCATGAGAATTAACAGCAAATTAAAAATTGAAGTGGACGAGAAGAGCATGAAAATTCCCTTCCTGTTTGCCAACCCCAAGTTCCACAAGAACCCAATTAAATTTAGATTCATTGCGAGCTCAGTAGGTACCTGCCTCAAAGGACCCTCCCTTCTACTGAAAGGCATCCTGGACAGGCTCTGCGACAGGATTAAGCAAAAGTGCAAAACCTGCCACTGTCACTAGATCGTCAATAATAATACAAAGGTCCTGCTTGCAATTAAAGCCCTTAACGACCTCGAAGAAGCCTCCACCGTCATGTAATGGAACTTCTCGACGCTTTATACTAAGATTCCCCTGGAATTACTAAATCATGTACTTCTGGAACTTTTCGAAACGTATGTAGGAACAGGGTTCACCTTGAAGTACACTTTCGTGAATAAGGATTTCTTCTCCGACCTGCTCAAGGAATGCCTGGAGAACAATTATCAGATATATCCAAATAGGGGACAACATTTTTATGCAAAAGATTAGTATTCCCATGGGAAGCAACTACTCAACCAACATGGCGAATCTCTTCCTATTTTATTATGAAGCTAGGCACATGAACGAGACGTCCTTTCCAGGTGTTTACCGATTCACCTACAGGTACATTGATGAACTCGTAGCGATCAACAATTCCAGAATTCAGACCGAAATCGAGTGCATTTACCCAGATTGCTTGGAATTGGAGGAAACCGTGTCGTCCTGGTTCAAATCCGCCCATTATTTAGACCTAAATATCGCAGTTGATGATTCAGAAAAACGTTTCATTACCAGCATCTACGACAAAAGAAGAGATTTCGAATTCGAATTCCTGAGTCTGCCGAATGCAAGTAGTAATTTCCCTAGGCATATTATTAAAAACGTCGTCGCTTCTCAGATAAAAAGATACTCAGATATTTCCTCCGAGGCGGACAGTTTCCTCTTCAACAGTTTGGCTCTTACACCAGAGGCTCCTGGATAACGGCTATGAAGAAAAGTCCTTAAAAGAATATTTAAACTTTTCTCGCAAAATTCCAAGTACGATCTCATTGAATTCGCTCCTGAAGGAAATGGTCTTGCATCCTTTTGGAAAAGATTCATGGATATTCCCGTAGCTAGACCTGTAAACAGCTCGGATGTGCGACCCTTGCAGCACAGAAGTGATTGCAACATAGAACCGGTGCAGAAACACTAAACGAGTGATTGGACTCTTTCCCATAGCTTTTGATTCTATCCGAAGAATTAACTCATCTAGGCTGTCGGGGTTGGGCTAGGTGGCTTTGGCTTAATGTGCCTCGAGGCAAAGGCCCAGTTTGGCAGAGGCAATCTGAGAATCGCTCCATTCTGTCAGCACAGAACACTGTTGGCTGAATTCACGGTAGTCCCCTTCCTCTTTCATTGTAGGCCTGCGTTTCCCAGGCCAACATCCCCTTTTACTTTTCATGGCATTGGCCTGAGTCATTCCAAGCCATGCTGGGTTGCTTCCCTTAGGGACCAGTCTCGTCATGAATTTCGGTCGCAAGGCTGGTCGAGGCAATCGATAGCTAACAGTGGTGCTGGCAGACGGACTTAAGCCGGGTGTGCCTCTGATAAACTGGGTACTACCTTCCACTCATTTAATTTCATAGCTTCAGCGCCTTACGGCAGAAACGCTCTGGATAGGATGTCGAGGTATGCTTGCAGCTTCAACTTCCTGAAGACGCAGGGTGCATGACAATTTCTGGGATATTTTCTTCATTGTCCTTCCTCTTTTAGCTTCCTTCAGTGTCGCCCCATCTCTGCAGGCTAGCCTCCCATAGCTTGCACAATCTCTGTCAGGTTTCGGTTCGGGCGCAGGGTTTCTTCCCCCTTGCCTAGATCATTCTGGGTGGGACTGACACCATGGTCACCATGGAGACTGAACACACACAACCCCCCCCCATGCTAGCGGATTTTATTAAGTATTCTATTATTATTATTATACAAGTACGAAGTGGACTCAATTGCGTACATCAGTCAAAGCAATGGGTTGCTAGGCAAAACGGAAGTATTCTTGTTTTAGGAGCGTTTAATTGTAAAGGGGTGCATTCCTCCATCGCCTAGATTGGTTTGGGTGGGACAGGCACCATTGGTATTTCCTTTCCACTATATATCTATCTATCTATATATATATACTAGTGAGTTTGTTTGCCCTCGCTATTGTCGCGCCTTCGGCGCTCTATTACCTTGGATAATGATTCATTCATACATTTCTTGCGAAATGGGAAACACGGATTTAAAGTACGTCCCCATTGAAATATTGACTACATGACAATTGGGTTTAAAATTTTTGATTTTTATCAAAATCAATACCTCTATGATTCTATGTGTGCCTAACTTGAAATCTTTTTTGTGTCCATTTTTTAAAGGTGGAAAATACATCTAATATATATAGACGATCGTGACTGACTGACTGACTGACGCTAATTCTAAATACCATGTTCCAGAAACGTTAGAAATCTGAAACTTGGTACACATGTACCTTTTGAGTTGCAGAGTTCAG